ATACATAAAAAATTTTTCAAGTGCATCAGTAACAATATTTTAACGCTTTTAACGCAGGATTTGCAACTTCGATATTTTCTGGATTAAGTTAATTGCTTTAATCCTTAATTATTTTAATTAAATACCTTTTAATTTTTTTTCGATTGCTCAACAACGCAGCAAACACAGCCATCGAACGACCAGCTGCATTTTCTTATTTATTTTGATTTCATTGATTAAATTTAATTAATATTTAAATGGTGATATTTTAGTTTATTTAATCTGCATCTATTACAACCTGTTCGTTGCAATGTGATAAATATGTCAATCTCGTTTATTTATAGCTCAGCTTCAAGCTTTCGAATATTTGTGTCACTCTGGCTGTTAACTATCAAACAAAATCAATAGTGTAATTTTCTTATTATAAAAGTTTATGTGCGATCATAATACATGGTTTATCTATTAACAGAGGCGCTCATCAAAATTTCGTAACCATGAGGTTCAGCTATCTAGTCAGGTAAGGTCTTGAGCACCGCAATTCGCCTTGTTGACATGTAAAACGAACTAAATACCGCTATAATTTGCAACCCGTAAAAAACAAAGTTAATCTAAAGTCAACACGTTGAACAATAAGGCACAACGACAGTATACTGGTACTAAGAAATTTATTGGCCATGGAACTTGAGACACTTAAACGGGGTTCCATTTAGTGACTGAAGGAACGACCGACCGAATCAATGATCAGATCAGTCAACAGATAAATGAACCATTGGACTAACTAACGAATTTTGGAACAAACGAAAATATGACCGCAAAATGAATAAACAAACGAAAAGACTAACGAATCAATCGACAAAAGAATGATCCAACCAAAATGACGAAGGAGCGAACTAACTTTCGACCAATAAACCAACAAACGATCGAATGAACAATGAAAGAAAAAACTAAAGAACAACAAAGAGCGAACAAATGAATCAGCTTAGAAAATTGGAGGAAGAGATCGACTGGCGAATTGGAGTAGCCAGTGGCATTCTGCGTGAACTTGCCCGACCCATTGTGACTAAAGCAGAGTTCAGTCTGAAAACTAAGCTCTCAATATTCAAGTCGATCTTTATGCCCATATTTACCTACGGTCATGAATCGCGGACCATCACTGAAAGAGTTCGAACCCGGGTACAAGCTGCTGAAATGGGCTTTCTTAGACGAGTCGCTGGCCTTACGCGTCTCGAC